TAACAACGGAAAATCATTGTGTATTGAACATACCGTTCCCATATCTTTATTCTTGAAGTCCGTGCAGCAGTTTGTATATAATGAAAAAAAAGAATCATTCCATAAAAATGAACACACAAGACACACAAGGTGTATCAGGAATGCAAAAGAGAAAAACACAACTGCACATAACGTGCAATGAAATTATAATGAAACACACACACAAGGGAAAAACAATAAAATAAAAACAAACAAAAAGAAAGCCATGATCACCATGTGAATATGTTTGGGAGGCAAGAACACAACTCCCAGCAATAGGTGTGTCTTTCGTACAGAGCGAGCAGTAGGAATGATGCACACATGATGACAGTCCACACACACAAAAAGAAAAGGAGAAGGAGGGTTGGTAGTGTGTGTGTTTGTGTGTCTCGAACCTCCTGCCATTCTTCACATTTCAATCACAGCAATTAAAACACATTGGGATTGTATTCCATTCCCATGGGTAAAAGCAATAGTTATTAATATCACGGAACACACACACACATCACCAGGAGGACACAGTGAACGGCGGCAAAACAGAGCCCAGATAATAATGCCAACAAACAAAGAGGACAGTCCCCTCACAAAATGATGGTTTGTCATGTGATGAGTGTCATAGGGAGTCTAATAGATGTGTTCAGTAAAAAAATGCAAACAAGAGATTCATCAAACCGGAAGAAAAAAAAAGAAACATTAAAATCCAATAAAAAGAACAGTGCCCTTACAATGTATCCATATCCACTCAAACAAAGCTTTGCTGTGCAACTGTGTCATGGAATCACCGATCAGCATACGAGAGTGCAGCCCAACACAAACAGTACAAGAAGAATCAAGGAACTGTGTGCCAATGCAGGACTGCTGCTACCGTCTTTCTTCCTGGTTTTTTTCTCCCGTTTCGCCTCTTCTTCCCTAGCCGCCATTTCTGCGGCTCTTTTCGCCTCCTCCTCTTTTCTTGCCTTTTCTTCTGCATTTCTTTTCGCCTCCTCCTCTTTTCTCGCCCTTTCGTCTGCAACCCTTTTCGCCTCCTCCTCTTTCCTCGCCCTTTCATCTGCAACCCTTTTCGCCTCCTCCTCTTTTCTCGCCCTTTCATCTGCAACCCTTTTAGCCTCCTCCCGTTTTCTTGCCTCCTCTTCTGCATCCCTCCTCCTATCCTCCTCAATCTTTCTCTGCTTCGCTTTCTCCGTCCTCTCATCAAAATCCTTGATGTACTCTGCCTTGCCACTCGTTTCAGTGGTCCCTGAACGGGAGGAAGTGGTGGATGTGGTGTCCGACTTCAAATACTCCCTCAAATTCTTCTCTTGCACAACTCCCTTCTTCACTTCTGGCAGCGACTTTTGCCCAGGGGTGTCCTGACATTCGGTTCTTAAATCCCCCAATAACCTTCCAAAATCCTCACCCCAATCCACCCCGGCATTCAACCTGCAGACTTGCGTTCCGGCGCTGGCGTTACTGATGTCATCCAGGGCGGTAACGATTTTATTGTATTCCGTAACGACCGTTGCGACTCCCTCCCTCGTCGCATTATCCATGCAGACCACGCTGGAGTTCTTTTTCGCAATGTCCAAAAACCAGTCGACGCCCGCGTCCTTCCATTTCCCCCTCTCAAATTCCAAACCCTGACGGTATGGCGTACATATATATCGACTGGAACGAGCATTCTTAACCAGCTCCGCCACCTTTTCGACACTCGCATTGAATTCCCCAACCTTGTTACTAATATTATCCATGAATTCCTTGATCCTCGGGTCTCCGCACTCTATCGGCTGTGGGTCCGGCAATTCCACACCCACAACCCGAGAAAGTAGACCCACCCAACTGCTTTGCTCCTTTTTCAGACTCTTCACTTCAAGTTTCTTGAACTTCCTCACACCATAAAGAAAATGGACAGTTGTGTTCACGACGTCTCCAATACGAGTGATACTTTCGTTACAGACACTCACGTCATACCTCCATGTCTGCAGACACTTTTCAGCAGCCCCCAGCGAATGTCCCGCCTGTTCTATCAACTTCTTGTAGTGGTCTGAGCTGTAGTCCGCAAGATCTTTCAAATCTTTTAGAACCTTTTCGTCCGTGCAATTCACCTCCTCCTTCTCTTCGGGATCTGCCGGCCCACCCACCGCATATGCCACACACACACATTGCAGGAGCACCAATAGGTACACCACACGGCGCAGTTGGACGAACATCGTTGTCATGATTGTTACTGTGGTTTGCTTGGGTCTATGGTAACAAGGAAGAGGAAAAGGAAGCGAAAGAGACGCACATTTAACACACACTGCAGACAGTACACAACACAACAGCAATCAAACACAACCCAATGAGGGAACAACAGTAAACCACTCTCGCACAACAAAACACACCCAGAGTTACACAGATATTGAAACAACACCTTGAATTTAGAAGAAGTGGAAAACAAATGGTATCAAAACAATATTGAATAAACGTCTCTACACAGACACTCCAATATCTTACTCGGTATTCATACACAAACAAAGTGTGTCTGTATTCTCATTATAATAAAACCATTACCAGGCAGTTCGAATACCAAAATACACCAAAAACACAGTGTACGCCTGGCAACATACAAAAACAATACCACAGACAATCAGCAAAACAAAGAGACTGTACAATAATCAAC